GGCGGGGGCGGGGCGGGGCTGATGGAGGGGCGGATCTGCCGCTGCCGACCCCAACCCTCGCCGTTTCTTCATCACTCCCTAAAGTAGTGGAATAAAGTGAATGTCAGGGGTCCTGTTATACTGGAGGACTCGCGCTGTATTTAAGCTGACCGCATGTTGCTTGTTATGGACTTCACCATAGAATTTGACCACAATTTACCACCCCACTTAGCTTCACCTCTTCCACAGGCCAAAAACTGCCACCATTTGGGTTTCAGTCCTCTCCAGAAATAGTATTTGATATACAAACATCCCTGAGAATGAGGTCACAGTAAAACCTAACACCTTCAATATGGCCAAAGACTTTCTTCTGAACTTCCTCCCAAAGACCAAGCAGTAGCCTTGCTCTGGGTCGTTTATAGGGGGCCAGGTGTGGCTCCACTTCCTAGGGTTCAGTTTAAGGAAGTCCGCTGGAGGAGGCAGGCTTCCAGCCAAGGGTGGGATCACTGCAAAGGGTAGGAAATAAGGGAGAAGAGTCCCACAGTGCCTCCTAAACCTTGCTTTGGGGGCCAACTTGTATTTCCATCCCAGCTTCTGCTGCCACATACATCCATCATTCAGGAAATGTTTACTGAGCACCTAGGGACTGGGGATACTGGGAACAAAACAAAGATCCTGGCCCTCATTGTCACACAACTGGGGAGAGACGGAAAGCTAATTAAACAGTGTTTGTGGTTAAGTGTTCAAAAAGAACATAGCACCAACAGATAGCACAAAGTGCTTTTAAATAGAGTGGTCAGGCAAGATGAATGTGAAGATGAGGTTGGCAAGCCAGATAGAAGTCTGTGAGAAGACCATTTCAGTCCTCCCTGCGGGGATGGAGGGGCTCTGGGGCAAAAGCATGGCTACAGCAGAGGGCAATTGCTGGATAGTAATAGGAGTTGAGATCAGAGGGGCACCAGGTCAGATCTTAAGAGGCCTGAGGTCATAGAGAGGACTTGGGCCTTCACTCTGAATAGTATGGAAAGCCATGGGAGTATCTTGAGCTTGATCTGATCTCCATTTGAGCCAAAATGATTTCAAGGGAGCTGTCAGGAAAGACTAGTGATATTTATTAGATAATGGTTGCTTTGCAAATGCCAAAATAGCAAGAAAGAAGTTTCTTCCAGACACCTTCTGTTTCAGGTAAGCAGCTCTAACTTTACAGGGGATGTTTTGGGTCTTCAAATGACAAGCTGTTAGAGGAGTGGGACCTGATGCATAGCGGGCAGGGTCAAGAATGCTAAACAGCCTGCAATACCCTGTGCATCCTCACCTACAGCTTTACTCTGAGTGGCTGTGGCTCCCACCCACCAAGGTCTGTATTCTAGCCACCTGAAAGGGAACAGAGAGGAAAAGTTCTAAACCTGGCTCAAGGACCCTGGTGGATCCCCGAGTCCCTTTCACAAGATTCATGAGGTTATTACTATTTTCATAATGCAAAAATGCACCGTGAAGTTTTCCAGAAGCTAAGTGACAGGTAATATTGCAACAGATTGAATGCAGAAGTAGCCTTATTGCCCTTGGCAATGGGGCTGGGGTATGAGCAGACCACTCTTCAGACACCAGCAATGATAGCTTAGGTGCATTTTATTGGTTTTCTTTCAGAGTCATTCTACAAAAGAACAAAGTTAAAAACCAAGGCCCTGGCAAGAGGGTTTGAACCTTTCTCATTCCAGGAGCCCTCCCCTGTTCCTCCATGTCCCCAACTGTGTCACTGCTGCAGTTCATGGGGGTGGAGGGCTTGCTACTTTTGCCCCCCTACCAAACCCAAAAAGGGAAAGACCTACCACCTAGAAACTCCTTCCCCTCACCCCAATTTCCCTCAAGCTGATCCTGGTTACAGAAGGCCGTGGTAAGAACTGTTGGGATCCTGCAGGAGTTCTGAACCCCAGAAGGTCATGGCCAGGGCACTGTCTGTGAAGAGCACATTGTCCTCTGGCTCAGCACCCCTTAGGAACAATGTTGGACTCAGCACCTGAGAGTAGAGAGAAAAATCAGTGAAAACCCATCAACTTCAACACCAGCTGCCCCAGAAATCGATAAACTCAAGACTCATATATAAGGTTGGGCAGGTTGTACACAGCACAAAGGTGCCACAGCTAAGTAGGCACCATATTCGCATCATAGACGCCGTCCATAGGTTTTATATTTATCACAAACATTTATTAAAAACCATGAGCAGCAGCCTCCCCTGCCCCACACCCCTGCAGTTACCACCTCACTCCCAGAGTCCAGTTGCACTCTCTCAGGCCAGGGAGGACCGGAGGTCAGGGCCTTAGCTGGGAGCTGATGCAGGTAGATACACTCAGATTTGAAGGGGCAGCGGCCATTCCCTCGCACGAAGAACCGGCATCTGATCTGGCTATGAGAGAGAAGACGACCATCGCCTTCAAGACCTGTTACCCCAAAAACAAGGGGCGCTCGAGGCTGACACATAAGGCTGGGCAGGCTGTACACAGCACTAAAGCCCCACACCTAAGCGGACACCACTAGCATCTTAGTGTAGCTTTTACATTTATTCAATCTTCCAGCAGATGGCAGCAAAGCATCTTAAGGGGCCCCTTTCTGTAATTCTCAGTCTCCATTTGGGCCAGCAATAGCAGTGACCCTGGGAACCTCCTTTCATTTTTCTGGGTTTTTTTGTTTGTTTTTGGGGGTTTTGTTTGAGACGGAGTCTTGCTCTGTCACCCAAGCTGGAGTGTGGTGGCACAATCTCAGCTCGTTGCAACCTCTGCCTCCTGGGTTCAAGCGACTCTCCTGTTTCAGCCTCCCAAGTAGCTGGGACTACTGGTTCATGCCACCATGTGTGGCTAATTTTCGTATTTTTAGTAGAGATGGGGGTTTCACAGTATTGGCCAGGCTGGTCTTGAACTCCTGACTTCAGGTTATCCAACCGTCTTGGCCTCCCAAAGTGCTGGGATTCCAGGTGTGAGCCACTGTGCCCCCAATTTTTTTGAGATGGAATTTCACTTTTGTTGCCCAGGTTGGAGTGCAGTGGCATGATCTGGGCTCACTGAAACCTCCGTTTCCCAAGTTCAGGAGATTCTCCTGCATCAGCCTCCCAAGTAGCTGGGATTACAGGCACCCACCACCACACCCATCTAATTTTTTTTGTATTTTTAGTAAAGACAGGTTTTCACCGTGTTGCCCAGGGTGGTCTCGAACTCCTGACCTCAGATAATCTGCCCATCTTGCCCTCCCAAAGTTCTGGGATTACAGGCCTGAGTCACCGTGCCTGGCCTTTTTTTTTTTTTTTTTCCTTTTTTTTTTTTTTTTTGAGGCAGGGTTCTTGCTCTATCACCCAGGCTGGAGTACAATGAATGGCATGATCATGGCTCACTGCAGCCTTGACCTCCTGGGGCTCGGGTGATCCTCCTGCCTGAGCCTCTCGAGTAGCTGGGACTACAAGTATGTGCCATCATGCCTGGCTAATTTTTGTATTTTTTGTAGAGATGGGGTTTCACCATGTTGCCCAGGCTGGTCTCAACTCCCAGACTCAAGAGTTCCTCCCCCTCAGCCTCCCAAAGTGCTGGGGTTACAGGTGTGAGCCACCATGCACAACCCCTCAGCTGCTTCTTCTACAGTATGAGGATAGTAAGAGTCCCTGTTTCATGCAGTTTATGACGTACAAAGCCTGTCACACAATAAACCTCCATCTACACCATCTCCTATCACATCCAGGCCTGAGAGCTCCCCTTGGGAAACTTCCAACTAGTGGCCCAGCTGCCAGTACAGTTGCTGTTGAATAACATAGGCTTGAACTGCCTGGGGCAGCTTATATGCAGACAAGATCCTGGAGCCAACAAGACCAATTCCCTCCTCTTCCTCTTCATCCTCCTACTCAATATGGATAAAGTCTTTAATGGTAATCTGCTTCCACCTAATGAATAGTAAATATATTTTCTCTTCCTTATGATTTTAATGTTTCTTTTCTCTAGCTCACTTTATTGTAAGAATACATATTATGTTATATAATACATATAACATATAAAATCTGTATGAATTGACTTTATGTTGTCCAAAAGGGTTCTGGTCAGCAGCATGTTATCAGTAGTTAAGTTTTGGGGGAGTTAAAAGTTATACATGGCCAGGTGTGGTGGCTCACGCCTGTCATCCCAGCACTTTGGGAGGCCGAGGCAGGCGGGTCGCTTGACCTCAGCAGTTCAAGAGCAGCCTGGGCAACATGGCAAAACTCTGTCTCTACAAAAAATACAAAAATTAGCCAGGCTTGGTGGTACGCGCCTATAGTCCCAGTTACTGGGGAAGATTTCTTGAGCCCAGGAGGCTGAGGCTGCAGTGAGCCGAGATTGCACCACTGCACTCCAGCCTGAGCAACAGAGCGAGGCTCTGTCTCAACAACGGCAACAACAACGATGACATTATACATGGATTTTCGACTGCATGGGGTTCGGTGCCCCTAACCCCTAAGTTGTTCAAGGATCAACTGTATTTCCTCTCTTCCACCTGTCTGCCTGGGGCGTCCTCTTTTTTCCCCTCCTGAGGAACCCTGTTCTTCCCATGCGCAGCTTCAATACTTCCCCTTCTGTGACATTCACTCGAGTTAGTTTTCCCTTCAGTACTTTTGTTGATGCAGCTATTAGAGTTCACAGGTGTCTCCAGAACACGGCTGACTATCTCCTGGGTGAAGACAAGACCTCCTTCTTTATCCCTCTCTTTACCCAAATACACTTGCATAGATCAAGTGTAGTAAATCCTTTGGGAAGGTGGAATTAGGAACTTGGAATTGCAGCTCATTCCAGATTTTGAATAAGTGCTTACCCTCCCCAAGAGATTCAGACCTGCCCAACATTTCCCCATCGGCAAAGGCTGTCTTTCAGCCCCCTTCTCAGCCACCCCATGTTTTCAAAGAGCAGCTAAGCAAATAACATGTATTCGAATCAGTTTGTTTTCCCGCCTTATGATCAATTGGAAATAAAAGCCAAAGCAGGGCTTCTCATGGTACAGAGAGAACCAGAGTTGCTCTGAGTTGATTCTGAGCCAAGTTAGAAGAGAAAATTGGCCCTGGTGTTCCTTCTGCTATCTCAGGCACTCCCCGTTTATTAACTGGGCTTTCTTTTTCTTTTTTCTTTTTTTGAGACAGAGTTTCACTCTTGTTGCCCAGGCTGGAGTGCAGTGGCACGATCTCAGCTCACTGCAACCTCCACCTCCAGGGTTCCAGTGATTCTCCTGTCTCAGCCTCCCGAGTAGCTGGAATTACAGGCGCCCGCCACCACATCTGGCTAATTTTTGTATTTTTAGTAGAGATGGGATTTCACCATGTTGGCCAGGCTGGTCTCAAACTCCTGACCTCAGGTGATCCGTCCGCCTTGGCCTCCCAACGTGTTGGGATTACAGGTGTGAGCCACCATGCCTGGCCTTATTAACTGTGCTTTCTGAAATCATGAAAATAGTTCATGCCTTCACCTGCCATTTTGGTCACTCTAAACTTCAGGGTTTTGGGGATTCACTGGCTGGGGACCATGGCTGAACCGGAATGAATCAGGGGCTACCTCCTCCACTTGCCTAACCCTGAGTCTTGTTCCCTCTGCAGCCTTACCTCGTCCGAGCCTTGAAGTTCCTGATGAGTTGCTCCTTGTGGGCCCCCTTGCTCACCCAGAATTTGTGGGGGATGATGTAGCTGGAATGGACACGGCACTGGGGACACGCCCTGCGAGGCAGTGGAGTAGAAGGTGGGAGAATAGTCCCAGGCCCCCAGGCCGGCCTCCTCCCTAGGGTGTTTCCCTCCCTCCCTGTTGGCACCTCCATGACACTGACTTGATGACATCCAGCGGGAAGTCCTGCCGGTTCTTCCGCCAGGTGCGCAGGCAGCCCAGACAGTGGGCGTGGGTGCAGTTGGGCAGGATGCCGAAAACCCTCTGAGCCTCTGGCTTGTCCCACACTTTGTCCATACAGATGCCACACACCACATCCCGACTGTCCTGCTTCCCAGGCAGCCACAGGTAGGGTCAGACACTCCACCCGCATGCCCACATTCAGCCTCAGGTGCCACCAAGCCCTCCAGTCCCTCCTCCCACAGCAGGTCTGGGTGTCCCAGAGGTCCAGAAAGCCATCTTTTGCCACCCCTCACCCACAACCTGCTGCACCTCAAGGTCCAGGCTCTGAAGGGGCGCCATGAGCTCTCGGACAAGGTGGAACTTCGGCAGAGACTCCTGGGAGTGGCCGTGATCCCCGTCAGCAGCTGTTGGGAAAACTGCATCCATTCACTCACCCCTGTGGCAACCACTGAGCATTTTCTGCACGCAAGGCTCTGTGGTAACCCACATCCTGCCCCCAGATGGGTTAGAGTCCAGTCAGAATTAGAAGTCTCTCATATAGGCCAGGCTCTGTGGCTCACACCTGGAATCTCAGCACTTTGGGAGGCCAAGGCAGGCGGATCACCTGAGGTTAGGAGTTTGAGACCAGCCTGGCCAACATGGTGAAACCATCTCTAGTAAAAATACAAAAATTAGCCAGGTGTGGTGGCAAGTGCCTGTAATCCCAGCTACTCGGGAGGCTGAGGCAGGAGAATCGCTTGAACCCAGGAGGCAGATGTTGCAGTGAGCTGAGATCATGCCATTGCACCCTAGCCTGGGTGACAGAGGAAGACTTCATCTCAAAAACAAAAAAACCCAGCCTGTAATCCCAGCACTTTGGGAGGCCGAGGCAGGCAGATCATGAGGCCAGGAGTTCGAGACCAGCCTGGCCAATATGGTGAAACCCTGTCTCTACTAAAAATTCAAAAATTAGCCAGTCTTGTTGGCATGCGCCTGTAGTCCCAGCTACTCGGGAGGCTGAGGCAGAAGAACCGCTTGAACGGGGAGGCGGAGGTTGCAGTGAGCTGAGATCGTGCCACTGCACTCCAGCCTGGGAGACAAAATGAGACTCCGTCTCAAAAAAAAAAAAGAAGCCTCTCCTATAGCCATTTAGAACTGTGCTGTCCAATATGTAACCAAGAGCCATATGCGGCTCTTGAGCTACTGAAATGGGGCGAGTCTGAGTTGACACCTGCTATAAGTAGAAAATAGGGCCAGACTCAGTGGCTCCTGCCTGTAATCCCAAAACTTTGGGAGGATGAGGTAGGTAGATCGCTTGAGCTCAGGAGTTGGAGACCAGGCTGGACAACATGGCAAACTCTGTCTCTATCAAAAATAAAAAATAGGCCAGGTGCAGTGGCTCACACCTGTAATCCCAGCACTCTGGGAGGCCGAGGCGGGAGGATCATGAGGTCAGGAGATCAAGACCATCCTGGCTAACACAGTGAAACCCTGTCTCTACTAAAAAAATACAAAAAAATATTA